TCTTCCAAACCCGCCTGGATGCCACCTTGTGCCACGTGTTCTAGGTGTCCCTGCTGGAGCAGGGGGGTTGGACTAGATGATTTCTATAGGTCCTTTCCAACCTTAACCATTCTGTGAACTGTTACTTGTAGGTAAGAAGTTACTCCAATCAACGTAGAAAATTCCTGGCTTAGAGAAAGATAAATGACCCTATCTGCAGCAGACTGCTGTTCTCCCGGCATCAGGAAGGTAAGAGATGAATGGTGCTTCCACCCACTGCACCTGGGCTTCTTGACAAGCAATGCTACTCTGTAAGGGTGTTTTTTTTTTTTTTAATAGTGATGTGATAGCCCAGGGTCATGGTTCCCCTTAAAACAATGCACAGAATTTGTTCAGCAGTGCAGGTTTGTGCTGATCCTTACAAACAGCAGTTGAAATCTGCAATTCAGTGAGCACTTCTGCAAAGCAGAATAGCAGCCTCAAAGGCTGGTTTACAGCATTTTACATGCTAGAAAAGCAACACTTTCTCAGAAGCTCTCAGAGGAGGTGGCACTGCAGAAAGTTAGAACTACCTCCCTTTTCTCTATATAGCAACTCCTATTAATGTTCTCCAAGCACAGCATAACCAAAGACTGAGCTGCAGAAACAGCTCAGTTTGCCTTAGAGCAACAATTTGGGCCTGAGGGCCATGCAGTTCTCCAGAGGCTTCATTCAAAGGGACAGCGCTTAGTTGTTGGTCTACGCTGATACATTATGAACACAGTTCTAGCAGAATTCTCAACTGTGTTCCTGTATTTCTAAGAGTACTTCTGGATAGTATCATATCATAACAGTACTTCAGCAACTCCACTTTTATCTTAAAAGGAATTTTTGCTTTTAGAACAAATGCAGGATAACTTGGTTTTAGTCAAGGTATGTCCATCTAATTAAAAGACCTAGGTAATTGAGCTTTGTTCTTATAAAGAAATTCTTATTATTGCTTTATTTTAAAAAATAAAGCTAGGCAGTAACAGCTTTATTAGGAGGAAGACCAGGCCCCTGCTCTGGGCTTTTGAAACCACCATTCACTGGTAACCAAATCCTGTGTAAATCCTGTGCCATGAGTGAGAGTGGAAGGAGTAGTTCACAGCTCTGGATGCAGTCACTAAGAACTCATCCATTTCCACTGTTCTTCTCTATTACTCCCACTTTCACCAAAAAGCAGCTACCATAATAGGTGCTGGAAGGAGTTACCCTCTTCTCTGTCCCCTCCCATGTAGGCTTTTAATTGAGAGCATGGAGAGCTAAAGAACTGCCGCTGAGCAGGACATGACAAGTTTCTGTGACCACTCATCACCACAACATCAAGGTGGTTGCCTCCCGATGATCTGGAAGGTCTCTGTTCAGAGGTACCTGCTGGCAGCAGTGAGACCACAGAGGAGCCACTCTGGAAAGAGCAGGACAAGTTCTGGCAAGCATACGACAGAGAAGAAGTTAAGCCTAGGGGGGCATTAGGTGCTTTAAGACAATGATCTTAAAGAGGACAAAGATTTCATACAAGAGCCATCTGACCCCTTGGGAACTTAAGGGCAGGGGAGGGAAGTGTGTTGGTTCTTGTTTCACTGTGTGATGGCTGCAAGCTTTTTATTTTATAGCTAGCAACTCTTGTCTGTAAAAGAGAAGCTCATGCAGTATCAGAACCTTCTGCCTCTTGTACAGCAGCATTTCCCACTCTGGGGTAATGCTTCAAAATTCCCTAGGGCTTTCACTGCTGCAGCTAAGTTTGAAGATGACATTACACAAACCTGTAGGTGTGGGCTTTGCTAGCTGAAGACTCAGCCTCGAAAAGCTATTTTCAGAAGGAGTAACTGTGGGCATTAGAAGGTCCCTGAGTGTTCCACATATGCAACAGCAGTTGAACTCTCATTCAAATAAGAAGTCTGGGAGGCAGGACAGGCACACCTTTCACCTCAGGTAAGTTAAGCAATTTGAAATACTTGCACAACTGTCTTGCAAACCAATTTATGCACCTGGGAACCATACAACTGCTACTTAATGAAGCAGTACTGCTGCACTCCTTAGTAAGAGAAATTGTAAAATGTTAATGCAAAAAAGGGCAGTCCCATAAGCAGGCACATCTGCAGAAAATAACACACCATAGGGACAATCCACCTGTCCCCCAGGAAGCGGGTCCTGCTGCAGACAGGTGACACGTGCTCCACAGCCACCAGCAAAGAGGCTCCTTTCCTCAGCTCTTCTATATAAACAGGTACCACGTCTGATTTTATTTCATCATAACATACAGGTAATGCTCGGGACGCAACAAGATGAGAAACTCACATCTCTCTGAACCATTTAACCAGCTTGCCATACACTGAAGAACATTATATTCATATTGGACATGTACACGTTTCTCCCCCTCTCATCCTCACTTTGCTTTCCAAATGTTTAAAACCCATTTCCAGCATTAGCCCAGGCACAGGACACTAGTTCGGGAATGAAGCAGGGTACTGCCCTGCCCAGGACCCGAGCGTAAGGCCTCGTCCTGCAGGACCCTGGCCCCTGGCACGCTAAGCCTCAGCTCCCATTCTGTCAGTGACAGTGCAGCATGTTGGAAAGCATGAGGAACCCAAAGACCACAGTTCAGTTCCCCAGAAAAAGATTAAACAAACAAAAGCTAAACATACACGTTTGTGTGTGTGTATATTTACATACACAGCGTGCATGCACATGAGAAGGGGGAAGAACACACACATGAAGGAGCGCAAAACCCAGGAAGATTCTGTTCCTGCCTGTAGGGATTGTGTGGTTTTCGCCCATTAACCAATTCAAATCAAAGACAGACATGGGTTTTAACTGAAATGTGGCTGAGAGGAGCACTGCTAAATGGTTTATATGTGTATATACACACACACAGTGTGTATATATGCTGAAAATGGTTGTAATGTAATCACTTTCACTTGGTATGTAAACATAGACAAGTGGCCCTACGTTTAATGGATAGCCAAGACCTGACATGCTTTACAGTTTGGTGTCAACCTATCCCTGGTCCAGACTATCCCTTCTTCTGGCATTTCATACGCACATCACGAACACAGCCTCTGGGTTCAATTACTCCTCTTGCTGCCTCTCTGTGCATCTCTTGCACTTCTTCGGATCAAGTTAATCACTGCTGTAGCTTTCAGTGCTCTTTTAAGCAGTCCATCGTAGCAAATTAAGTCACATACTAGCCACGAAACAAATTAAAAAAAAAAAAAGGACAAAATCTTGTCCACTTTTCAATATAGTAAAACCTGAGATTTGAGTCAGAAACTAGCTAAATTTACAGTTTTAAAAAGAAAAACAAAAAAACAAAAAGTGCTGCTGACTTGAACTAGGGATTCAGTTCAGCAACCTCCGCTGACAGTATTTTCTTCCTAAAAGCTGTTGGTCGGGGTAAGCATGTTGATTTATAATTTTCAGCTGCCTGCACAGAAACTGCACAAAGCGCTGAGGCCTAAGGCCCTGCTCACACCGTGCGCACATTGGGAAGAAGCTCCCGCGCAGCCTGCGCGCTGGTGCCGCTCTTCGCTGACGCTCAGCCTCTCGCAGCACCACACGGCAACGGCAAGAGCGGCAGCCACCGTACCACCGGAATCGTGAGCTGGAGGGAAAGCAGCTGCTCCACCATCAAGGGCGCCACGCAAAAAAGGGGGTAGCTGCTCCCCGCAAAACATCCCTGCTGCCTCCGGGATTGGCACCCCCTAGAGTCGGCAGGGCCCTGGCTCGGGCAGGCCAGGAAGGGGCAGGGGCCACAGCCAGACTGCTGCAGCACCTGCGGACACTGAGGCTCCGGCCAGGGACAGAGCCAACTCCGCTGGAGCCGCACGTGCCGGCAGGGAGCATACTGGCTTCCCCTCTTCTAGGATACAGCGACTGGAACCGTACGAGCGGAGCAGTTCCTTAATGTTATTGCTCATCCCACCAAGCCCTGCTCTTTATTTCAGAGGAAGAAAATAACCCTTCAGAATTAATCCACTAAATTGTCAATTAGTTTAAAAAAACAAAAAACAAAAAACTGCAGAATCCTTTTTTTTTTCTAATCATCTGCTTATCCCTTGCACATAGCCCTAATTATTAACCACTCCATTACAGCTTAGAAGCTATCCCTCTCCCAGAAGCCAACTTAGTAACCCAATATCAAAAAATACAAATCCTGCCTATTTTATAATTAAAAAGACTGGGGAAAATAGTTATAAGTCTCTTTCACTTGTCGTCTTTAAGAAAAACTGCTAAATTGTGCGTAGACAGCTTAAAAAAAATGCATCAGATGTGGCTAGTTGTTACTTGTTCACATTGCTTATGAACTGACTACCAGCATCTGGCAGCCATAAAGCCCTAAGTTTATTTTTTATATTTTTGAGGTACTGGTTTTTCTCTGAAGCAGCTCTCTAGCAAATCACCTAAAGCCTACCCATTAGAACAATAGTTACACCAGTATTTACAGTTGTCTGAACCCTATTTTCAGACCAGCCTTGCTGTAACCAGTCCCCACTTCCTTTGGCCTCGCTCTCCATCTCCCTTATTGCAGGAGAAAGGTCTCCCTCCAGAGGATGGCTCAGTGTCAGGGCTAAGGTGCATTGGTGAAGACTTGGGGCATGGGGAGGAGAGAAGCAAACTCGCTTTGATTGGAACCACAGAAATGTTCTGACACCGGACAGCTTCCCGTGAGAAACATTGAAAGGATGTGCAATCCATTGCATATAATTGCTTCATCTGCCAGGGAAAACTTTTGAAATGCTCTACCCTTCTCCAGGAAAAGAGAGGGGGAAAGCCCACCAGCTTGGAGAGAGAGCTGGTCTCCTCATGCAGATGCTCACTTGCCATTTCTTTGCTGTGTTCATCCAGTCACTGTGTTCATGCTGAAACTCCACATTTCCCCTCCCGACCCCGCCATGCTGTGCACACACACACTTTCGTATAAAATTTGTTCTTTTCAGATTTACCGGGAACTCTCGAACACTGGGGGAGCAGCCTGGAGTGGGAGCCACTCAATACAGTCACACAAGTCTGTCACTTCAAGATACTTCGATAATTTCCATGCTGCCCGAAAAGCTCGACTGACTGCCTACTTTCCCCAGTTCCTCTCTGGATCTGTTGTCTGACATGATGCCCTCCCCAAACTCCATCTGGCAGCTCCTGCGCTTAAACTGCTTTTCAAAGGAGCTTTCCTCGTGCCAGCTCCGCCTGGAGTCACCTCGATCGCCCTGCTTGGGCCTCCGGCGCACAGCAGAGCCTTGCTCGCCGCCCGTGGGCAGCTGGCTGCAGCTGTAAGCTGAGTAAGCGGCGCTGCTCCCATAGATGGCAGAGGCAGAGTAGAAGTGCGAGGACTCTGTCGCAAAATACCAGCTGTTGGTGAGGGAAGCGGCGGAGGTCTGAGGAGCCAAGATGTCCGAGTGCCAGCCCTTGAGGCCCAGCCCTGCCGCGGACTTGGCCAGGTGCTGCTGACTCGTGGAGAGCCCGAAGAGGAAGTTTGTTCGGTGGTTGTCTTCCACGCTGCCGCTCCGGTGCAGGGGGTAGAGGAGCGGCCGCTGTGCGGCACCGCTGCCGGCCCTGCCCAGGTGCGGCCGCTTGCTCTGGCTGTCCGGCTGCCAGGGGCTCGGTGGCTCCTTGCGGGGGTTTGCGTCTTCTTTATCGGGGCTGCTTTCTGGTGTCTGCTCCGAGACCTCCTGGACAGGGGAGAACTGGCACAGCTTGCTACCACCATCTAAAGCAGTCGTGTGCTTGTAGTACTCCAGGGTGTCTTCGGAGGAGGCAAAGCCCTGAACGGATGCAGTCACACAGTTGCTGCTTGCTGAGTAGGACACCGATTTGATATCCAAAGAAAAGGAGCGCTTCAGCCGGTTGCTGTCCTCTACCTTATCTAGGGACACATGGAGTCCGTTTATGCCCTGCAGCAGCGGGGTGTCTTCCAAGGACGTCAGGCATGTGCCCGGCACGCTCCCGGAGCCCGCTGACTTCTGCTCCACAGTCTCAGAGGTAGAGGTAAAGCAGAGCTGGCCGCTGGGGAGGCTGCTCTGCCCACCTTCTGGCACCAGGACGTGCTCGCTGCCTTTTTCCAAGTGCAGAAGTTTCAGCTTGCTAATATGCCCAGGCTGACCGCTCGGGCCCTTAATCTTTTTCTCAAAGTCCAAAAGTTGGCCCAAAAAGTTGAAGTTAGGAGAAATGGTTGGCCTTTTTTCTTTCACAAATCTGAGAAGAGTGAAAAAACAAAACAAGAATTACTTTTAAAACTTGCTGCTCAGATCTGAGATAATATTCACAATAAGCACCCATGGCTTAATGGTCTAATTTTAACTTGTCAAGATAGCTGAATTGTTGAATTCAGATTCAGCCAAGCACAGGGAATTTACAGCTGGTGAGGAGGGAGCAGAAAGAGGTTAAGAGACAGGTTTGGTTAAGAGACAAACTAGAATTTAATAAAAAGATGTAATGCAAAAATTTAAAAGACACTCTTACTGTGTCAATATCAATGTTATATCAATAACAACTGCTTTTAACCCATTCACTTATATGTGTCTTTTAAGAAGTGTTCAGTCCTTCACAGCTCTATTCCCCAGACCTCTGCAGCCCAAAATCACATGGTCTCTTCAGTGAATCAAGCTAATCCACTGCACATTATTCACCCATATCCATTAATGCAGTTACATTGTCTATACAGTCATTTCCTGCATGAAAACTGAGTTTTCATCTATGCCTCTCATTTAAGCCTGTGTCACTATACCTGTTGAAACTACCAGACAAAGTTGTGAGCAACTACCAGTAATAGAGTGTAGATGATGTTTAAAGGCATTAAGAGATGTTTCCAGTTCAGGTATTACATACACACACTTTTTCCTACACAGATATAGTTATAGTCATTCCTCAACTTAAAGGAAATGCCCCCATAAAACAGAACATCACATGCCCTTTGTCCTGTATAATGAGTGTTTTACAGGCAGCAGTAGCAGACAGTGCAGAGCTGGAAGATACTCTTCTCACTCTGCTCCAGTGCAACTTTTCAAATTGCCTCTGAACTATGTGTACTATAGAGACATATGAGCCACGGCGATCAGCCTGTAACTCCCTGCAAGAAGTAGCCAGAAGCAGTACAGTGCAATATGGGAACTAAAAGCAGTCTGTTAGAGAAATACAGAAGTCACAGTAAATTGCAGTCCAGTTACCTGAAATGTACCAAAGTGTTTACAATCCAGCTACAGAAACAGTGCAATTGAAGAGGTTAAAACACTTTTATTGTTTTTGTTTTGGTTTTGCAAAACATGATGCTGTAAACAGCTGCTAGTCACAAATATTCTTTTTCCAAGATTTTTTGGTTGTGTTTACCATCAAAAAACTTTTTTTAATTCCTAGACAGCATTTCACCAAAAGGCCCTTCTTTGAGAGCATTATCAACTACCAACTTGAAGTTAATAGATCCTGTCTAGCATTTGTTGTAAGCCCGATTATAAATATCCTCAGGTCCTTTTTTCATCCTCCTTCCATTTCTTTCTCTCTTGGGCTTGCAAGATATTCCCATGTGCTATATTTTAGTCAGCTATATGTATAAATAGATATATACACACACATATACACACATTTGTGTAGATACATTAAAGTGCATGTACACATTATTACACGCCACCTACACACACTTATATGTATATGTGCATATATTTGTATGTATTTTCTAAAGCAATTACTACAGTTTAAATCCCATATATTTGCCTACTCAGAGCAGAGAGCAGCATCAGCATTCTGCAGGTGTAGAACTAGCATTAGGTGCGTGATATCTGCATACAACAGCTAATTTGTTTATGGAGAAACCTATGTTTAAAGCAAGACTGTCTGGAAGTCATGGACTACAAGATACAATAATGGGTCTGCTTCTTCCCTTGTTCATAAAATCATTTATCATTCACCTTAAAAGCAAGATGACAGGCACAAGAATTAGTGTCTTGGGAGAATGGAAGTTTTGTCCTTACCTGTAAGCTTCATCTAAGGACATATCCATTCTCTTCATGATATATGCGATAGCAATTGTGGCAGAGCGCGATATTCCAGCCAAACAGTGCACTAACACACGTCCATTCGATGCTTTTGCTTTTTCTATATAGCAAAGGAGTTGTCAAGTGTTAATCTAAGAAGCATTGTAGCATGATGAAGAGTTTGCAAAACCACCCACTGTTCTTAAAATTGTTAAAATTCCACATTTATCGCTATTGCGGATCTCATGGAACCTTTAAACCAAAGATACTTGCTTTCTCTTTATTGAATTAAAGAAAATAGTGTTACTACACGTACAGCTGCAGGATACGCTGCATTTATAGCATACTGCACCTACTTTACTTTGACATGCATGTAAGCAGCCACATACAGATACCTGGAAAAGCCAACTGTTCTATCACAAATACTTACTCTTACTTGCATATAAATTAGAAACAACTCAGCCAGTTCATCTCTCTGTTTACTGCTCAAAGCTAAGGACCAGATTTGCGTATGTGTAATTTTCTAACACAGCCTATATGTCTGAGTGTCAGATATCTCCCCAGACTGCCAGAAAGTGCAGTTGGACTCCTAGAAAGTGTCTTTATTCCAGAAGTGCTGGATCACACAATGACAGAATCTTCCTGCTTCTGTGCTTATAAACTGATGGTGGTCATATACCTAGACCCTTATGATACTTTCATACCACTCAAAAAACATTCAGGACTCCTGCAGCTAAACCAGGAGACAAACACATAAATGAAAAATCAGAAAGTGCTAGAGAGAGACAATCTCATTCTCACCTATAAAATCTACTGACTTATCCAACCAAGGCAAAATTTTCTCACAAAAGCTGTCATTCACAGGCACTCTCAGGAAATGGGACTCCGGAATAAAATCAGGCTTTGGACAAGTATTGCTGGCGTTCAGTACGTAGCCAATATCATTCTGCTGCATCAGCTCCTGTGGAGAAGATAAAGGTTAAGGCCAGAGAAATCAAATGACACCTTGAACTGTTACAAGAAATCACAAATGAAAAACCAATGATAAAGCTAAAAACTAAACTGGAATTCATATTTCCATTGCTCTAGCTATTTTAATGACATTCTCTTTTGAAAAAGATTACCCCTAAGCTTTTGGGTCTTCAAACAACTTTTAATGAATATTCAATGTGTCCAAATAACATATAGACTGCAGAGTCCATAAAAACAAAGCTAACAATGAAGAGAATTAATGGCAAACTTCTCTTCGCATGAATCATCATTTCCAAGAGAGGCTGGGTTTGTTTTTTGTTTCCCTCCCTTGGTTTAAAATCCTTACCTGGCAAGATGACAATATGCCCAACCACTTCCTACAGGTAGTTTGCTGACCTGAGTACCAGCACAAAAATATACTTGTGAAATGCTTAATTCTTTCACATATTTATTTTTCCTGCAAGTGTAAAGATGTTTTGGAGAGGACAAAGTGGACCACAGCTACTTAGCTAAAGAGTCAGAACTCCGGTCTTGTCCAAACCAGAGCAATTTAAATAACGAGCATTTTGTAAGCACACGGGTGTACCACACTTCTGTTGTAGTGTATGTGTAGAAAGGATGAGCACATACACATGTCAGTATAATTGAGACCTACCCCATATTCACCTGCAGAGGGTTGTGTATAAAACAGCCCTACTGCACTACTACGATTCTCAGCAGCAGTTGTAAATAGGGAGTCTGCATGAATCTCTTCTTGTGAGTTGATGACAGTTGTCAAGTCATCTTGACTCCAGATGACAAAAACACACCCCATATTTATGAGCTTCTCCAAGCTTTCATTCAAAATTCCTCACGCCAGCACATTTAGAGGTACCTAAGGACATGGTCACCTTAACCTACTGTATATACATTTTCCACATAAAGGTGACCAATTACTCTTCAAGTAAATTATCAGAAATATAAAACACAGCAATGTTCAAAACAAGAGCTACATGCAACAAATTAAATTCTCATCATTACTCCTTCTTACCCTACTAATTTTCTTGATCATGCTCCCACTTAGCTCCTCTGCCCAATGTCAGGTTCCTCCATCACCACTTCCCCTCAGTCTCTTTCATTTGCCTCTCCCCAGTTCAAGCCACTTTCAGACTCGTGTGCTTTTTACAGCCTATTCCTTCACCTCTGCCATTACCATATCCTGATGCACTCTTTAAAGTTTAAAATCCTTTACAGTTGAAAACCAGAGTGCTGTAAGGAAGCACCGGTGTACTTGGAGCTATCCAGAAAGGGGCAAGTATTGAGAAAGGGGTTCTTGACGCAGGGGACTGGCTATTGCTAGACGCACTATATCCAAGGAGTGCAAGGGAAATCAGCAGTATGCAGCACTCGCACCTCCCTGTTCTGCATCCTAGCCTTGAAAAGCAGTGTAAGCCAAACTGCTCAACAGCAACTTCTGTAAAATAATTGCCTACTTCAGATTAATACACTGAAAAAAACCTGAGTGCAGAAATGAGGAAGCACATGCAGAATCATGAACAATCTTAGGTGTACATGCCACACTAACGCCACTATTGGCAACGCAGGCATTGCTATCACGCAGAGCTCCACAACACGTATTTGTTCAGACTATAGCACATATTAGCTCTAAGGGGTGCAGAGAGGCTGATGCATTTAGAAGAATAGAAAAGCCTTTTTTTTTTTTCCCCCCCCCCCCTTTTTTTTAAGCATAAGTGCTGGTGGGCTGCACAGTCCAACCATCACAATTCCACAGTTATGTAAGATTTTTGATGTGGAATTGATTGTCCAAATGGGAATTGGACGGTTGCAGACGCCAAGTCTGAAATCTCCTAGCCAAAAAAACACCCAAAAATGTGTTAGTGCTTGACTTTGAGAGCAAGGCTAAAGAAAAAAGTTATGATTCCTTCTCTTCTGAGGTATCAATCATTCCCTGTGCAGCACACTAATATAATAACCATAACAGTGACTTCATTGTAAGGCACCCAAGAGGAAGAAATGAATTATGATGGAAGGAAGATCCAGAAATCCTAATGCTAACAACTTTGGGAAAAGAAGGTAAATGCTCTTTTGTCAGCTTATTTACATTTTATGACTTGTTTAATCTTAAAATTAATAGCACCCTCACCCTAAAATGTTATTTTGTTCCAGGAAATAAAATCCAGGTCTGGGAGGGAAGAAGAAAAAAAAAAAAAAAAGGAGTTAAGTAGTTAAGCAGAAAGTTCTACAGCTCAAATGCTGCCGCAAAATGTGGAATACAAGTAGGAGAGGCACTCCGGCCCGTAAGCACCACACTGAATTTTTTTTTTTGTTATGCTCTCTTTCAGAAAGGACACTGCCACTCCCATACAGGTCAAACATAGTCCATCTCTTTCTTTCACAAATCTGAAAATCAAAGATCTCCTGTCAAAACAAGTGCCCTCTTGATATTGGTAACCATCACAGTATTACAGTAACAACTGCAAAAGTGCAGCAACTCATTAGCCAAATGGAGCAAAATAAAACTGGTAAAGGTGAAAAAAGTCCACATTTTGCAAATATACACCTTTAGGTAAAGCAGCACTACTGATCACCAAATTATTGAAGAACACATGGAGGGAAGGGAGAAAAAAAAGGGGGGGGGGAGCAAGGGGGAAGACCTTTCCTGAGGTTTTTAGTATCTAAACACTGAAAAATTATAGGTATTTCAAGACCAAGTATTTAAAAAGAAATTTGCAAAGCAATAATATAAAGCACCTCCTAAGGCTTTTGGAAGTAATCAAAGTTTCACCAGGGAAATTAAGTAGAACATTCACGTTTGCATATGTTTCATAAATAAAATGTTATCAGCAGAGGTATAAATGGCAAATGGCATTAATATTCCTGAAAGATCATGAATACTGACCTTCCTGCAGGAAGACAAATATTTCATCACCCCCCACTGCCCCTGCACTCAGAGATAAGCCTACAGAGATCCTGAAAATATTAGCTCATCCTCATAAACCACACTGAAAATCCACCTCTTTCAGTAGTGGGTTGAACTGTATTGCAGATGAACAGTTCTTTTGCCAAGATATTTTTCAGACATTTAGGTTTTAGAAAATAGATTCAGTCAATAGGAAAAATAAGGGCATTCCACAGAAAGCACGTGAAGGCAAAACATAAGGTCAACATACATAGCTACCTTTTATAGTTTGGGATGTTTTTTTCTGAAAAATTCCAGTAAGTTATTAAAAAAAAATCTGAACTTGAACAAAAAGCCCATTCTAATCTTAACAGAAGTCATCCCCAGTAACTGGAAAAGCAGAAGGCCACTGAACCAGAGCATGCAAACTTAACTGCTTACCATCTTCTTGGACACCCCTGGCTACTTATCACTCAGATTTGCTTCTGGTCCTCCTGAATATTTGGTGCTTCCCAAATTTTTTTTTGTTATTACTAGTGAGAGAAATCCTCCTTTCTTTCCCCAGTACCTGGGGATGCCGGCATCCCAAGAAGCACAGTGTGTGAAACAGAGAGGAATGGAAAAGGTGAGGTACCTGGTAGCATCTCTCTGCCCTTAGAAATTCTAGCTTTCTGACCTCTAGCTATAGTCAACATTGAGATGAATCAAGAAACTGTTTAATAACAGGAAATTGGGAGTTGCCAGTAGTTCATCAAGTGAATTCTAAGGAATCTTTAAGTGTTCCCACAGTTTCTTTAAAGCTAGTAAAGGAACCAAAATTTACGACAGAAGCCATTTCAGACTTTCCATAGGCAATCGCCCCAACTGAAGGAATCAGGTAGTTACTGAGACATGAAGGTTTATCTCAGTGTAGTGAATAAGTAGCACTTTCAGATTAGTGCATTGTCCACTATTGGTTCAAAGTAAGAGAAAAGAAGGTAGGAGAGACAAGCAGCTCTGAAATTATAACATGCATATTTGTCTTAAAACAGATAAGAAACCTAAGTGGTCCTTTACTATTTGCGATAGAATTTCCAAAGATTGACCATCAAGAATAACACCAGGAGATAAGAACTGATTACATTTTCTGTGGATTATAGACTATTATTTCTGTGGTTCTCCAAGGGAAAACAAACAGCAATCTTTGATCGTAACTCCTCAAAATATGTGACGAAGTACAGAACCTGTACATTCCCAAGAATCCTACATTAATTCCAAGTTATCTACAATTACAAGGCTTCCTGATAAATGCTGAAATAAGATCATGACTATAAATTAGGATGCAAGAGAGATGTCACCAGTTGGGAACTCTTCCTGTAGCCTGCTCTGCCATACTTGGGGCTTACCAGTAGCAGTCGTGTTGAGGGACTCCTCCGTGTCTGTAATCAAACTCCTGACCACAGCTACAATTTGGATCCTTCTCCTCACTGTACTTGTGCATAACATCCTTTTCATAGACATCAATTTACTGCCAGTAGAGTGAAAAGCCTCTTTCATCCCTTTGGAATAGTCATTGCTTAGGAGCCACAACAAATGGGCAGCAACAGCGTGGAGTTCCAGCCACATCCCAAATGAAGTTTGGGATTGCCTTGGCCCTGGAGGGGAGTAAAGGATCCTCACTGCCTCTCCCCACCAACCACTTGTGACTAAGGATAGCACTTTCCACTCATATTAAAACAAACAGCAATAAAAAGCATCTTTCTAATATTCTACTATTTACAGAGAGGATTTTATTTTTTTACTTATTTCCTCATTTCTTTTGTCTTGGAACCACAAGTTTATTACCACATTGTGATAATAAGCTGCTCTGACATCCATTGTAAACGAATCAAGTCTAAATTTCTTACTCGTTACCTGGCAACAAAGATGTGAGAGATTTTGAAGTATGAAATAAAGACAAGGACTATTGACTGCCTTCCATATTATCAGCTTTTCCTCCAAACACTGTTAAAGTGCAACCCCTCTCCAGCAGATCAGTTGCATATCACAGACACCGTTAAAACAATTGTGAAAAATCCAGAAATTGCCTATTAAGGATGAGACTGGAATGGAGTGAGGAGTAAAAAAAATACATGAAAATCATTATTGTAAAGAAAATGTATTTGATGCAATTTCAGGTCTATTAAGACAGTAACTACCTTAAGGTTTATATTTGGATGCGAAAAAAGAAAAAAAAAAAAAACACACACACACACTCAAACACCCTCACACACATTACGCAATAAAGGCAACATTTTAGGGAGAAGAATTCTGTGCCCCTCTTACCCCCGCCCCACTCTGTGTGTTTAAATACCAGCTTATGAAAGCTGTTGAAAGCTTAACTAATAAATATCTCTCCCAAATAATAATAGGAGGCAAGAGGGCACATGCAGTAGAAATGGAAAAAAAAATCCCTTGAGAAGTGATCTAAGATGCAGATTCTTAGCAATATAAGACTTGTTCTCCTTATGGAGGAAAATACCTGTCAAATCACATAGGAATACAGACATACAGCAATTTGAGACTGACTCTTTTTGATAACTGAGGATCCAGCACCTTGCAAGTGCTATACTTGAAGGCTTTGCCCTCTATTTTCATACACCACATGGGTTATTTAATAGGAACAGAAATTATTACATGTGCATGTATTTAGAAGCAGTAAATTGATTTTTTTGCTTTGTTTTTAATGTTTTGTTTTTTTGAGTACAGTGATACCCAAAAGGCTCATTTTAAATTATACCCAAATGATTATCCAAATCTGAACATTAGGTGAACAAATATTTGTTTGCCATACTCCCTCATCATGGTATTTAAGGTACTTTTTCCAGTGATTTTTTTTTTAAGAAAAAAAAATCTTTCAAGCAAACTTTGTTTTATTTAACATTAGCCTAAAGGTTACGTATTTGTGTTAACATTTAACACTTGCCAAAACAAACCTGCCAAAACTACACTCAGGCAACTACCCCAATCTTCTGTAATGGCAGATTTAATAGCTTGTTTCCATTAGTAGGTTATGGAGGACGATATCTTCTCCAAGACCAAGTTTCAGATTACACGACAGAGACTAATTATAGGGACATTATATGGGCATTAGTTCTCACAGAGCTGGCTGTGCATAAACTATGAAAAACTGTCATCTGTATCTACTTTAAATGTTTTGCAGCTGTGATGATGCAGTAAAACAAATGCCTTGACATGAAGGCACATGGAAATTGCATGCTCATCCATGTAAACAACACAGCATTCAGAACACCCACCTTGTTGAGGACATCTCGCTGACACCCAAGGTAGAGATGAGGCAGAATTCGCGTTGGTCCAATGTTGGAGACAGGTAGGCATGGCTGAGAAATGCAAGTAGGGACGAGGGTGGATTTTCCTTCACAGAGACCAGGGAACGAACTGGAGAACTCAGCAAAACCACCTGTGAAAAAGACAGCATGCATTTTACTTACACGCAGTGCTGAGGGCACCGGTGCCTACCTCAGAGCTTAAAAGCAAGTGTTCAGTGCCTGGAAAGGCAAGGCTGCGAGCCCAGCGCCCTGCAGCGGTGCAGGTGCCCTGGCAGGGGAATGTGCACCGTGCACGGGCGCCTCTTCCAGATGCATCGCGACTGTGCAGGACGGTCACATTGGTCATAGCCTGCCTTGTTCGCCCATTCTGCCTGGACATTTATTTTTCTGTCTCTTGTTGACTCTCTTCCTTCCTCAGAATTTTTCATGCTTGATCATATGTGGAAGGGAAAGTTAAAAAATCCCAGAACACCAAACCCACCCACACCTTCTGCTCTCCCCCACAAACTCTTTTTCTAAACACCTCTTTCCTTTTATACTGAATCTATAATTGTCTTCTGTGGTTGCTACTGCATTAAGAAAAAGTCATGGTCACTGAACTTGGTAAAAACATCAATACATGTGGTTATTCTGATTAATGTTTGCTTTTGAATCCCACATCATTATTTTCTATGCTGCTTAATAATTCATACATTTTAACATAAAACAGAGTCCAAGAGGTTTTACATTTCAAAACCACACCAAGCCGAGGCGTCTCCACCTCAAGCAAAGAGGAGGCACCATGTGGGGAATACAGAAGAAATTGGGAAGAGCTGAAGACTGGCCACTGGGACTTCCCTGGCAAACTACAGTTCTCCTGACAAAACCAAAGAAATCTCCAGCAATCAACGTGCACTTAGGTTAAACAAAGTCTAAAAACTGAAGCTTTCTACCCCCCCCCCCCCCTTTTTTTTTTTTTTTTTTTTTTATTTGCATCATGTTATAGCCAGTCAGTAAGGGTCAAAGGCACAAATCAGTGTCTGTGGCTTTTTTCTCACCTAGAAATTCCATCCCCCTGCTCACTTTTAAAGTGAAGGAAGAGGCATTATAATCTGTTCATAACAAGCTACCTTTTTTTATCATCACGGAAATGAAGTATTAATGTGCTAAATCTGCCAAATCCTATGTTTACTATTATTATAGTTTGAAGACATGAATTAAAATTATTCAGCAATAAGATAATGCACTGTTTTGTCAAGACTTGCACTGACCTTGCCTGAATTATGTCTATTCTTTGTATTTGATATTTTGTATGATTTGGTAAATTCAGAAAAAATATAAATAAAATATAAATATTCTGTCACTCCTTTTAGGTATTTTGCTTCCTTTCCTCCTCACTCCCACCAAATTGCTGAACAGCCCAATTCGTTCTGATAAACAGAAAAGCCAATGAGCACGTTTCAAAAATAAAAGCATCACGAACAGCCATTTTGGTTATAGTCTTTTTCACAAAGACTCTTCCTTATTCTGGTAGACAAGTTAATTTAGAAAGCTGACAATGCTCATCTTTTGGGTCATAAGAGATAATAGTTTAAATGTGCTGTAAGAATGTTTTTTTTTTATATCAGGCTTCATGTCATAACTATATAGTTCTTTATATTCATTTTTACTCTATAATCTGCTAGGAAAAAAAGAGAGAAAATGCTGTGGGGTGTCATTCTCTGGAGAATCTATATTAAGTTTATAGATCCCGGTTCGCAGTACTACAAGCAGGCCTTGAGTCAGTTTAAGGTTCATGCAAGTTGAAGCACCACGAGCAGATTCAGCGTGCGCAGCAGGCAGGGCAGAGCCGGCAGCATCTGCCCAGGACTCATGGAGACAGAGCTGGAAAATGGAAAGCCTGTTCAAAAGACACAACCACAAAGCACCCATCAAACACCCTCCCACTGCAAACCACTCACTTTTGAAGAACAGCACAGAGCAGAAGATGCTTGGGAGGGAAAGAAGCAGACGGGCAGACATTCATAGCAGAGGGACAAGAGTCAAACAGGAAGAGGAACAAAATTTGTACAGGAATTCTTATTTTCCCCCACTCAGTGCATTCCTGTGCTGCCTGAACAAAAAGTGCGGTTTGGTTCAGGACTGTGGCAAGGAACCCCTGGCAGCAGCACAAGCAAACACCTCTGTGCACAGGCTGTCATCCAGAATATCCTGAGAATATCCAGCCCACGAAAAGCTGCTGGGAGAGTCCCAAAGGTGATCAGCACCGCTCTACAGTGGTTGAACTGCTCAGGGGCACAGAGACTGCTCTCCATTGTACTAATCAAGGGATAGAAAGAGTTTTCAGATCAATTCTCCCACACATTTGATAAATCCTCCAAGATACTGAGTAACGTTATGTTCCTCTGTTACAGAAAACTATCTCTGAATTCTTAGTCACTGCATGCCAGGTCATGACTCTTGAATATATTTATTATAAGATATGGCACCAGAGTTCCTTGAGAAGCTATTTTGATTTCGCTTGCCTATGCTTTATCTCTTGGGAAGCTTTTTGTCTGTTTTCTGGAGCCTCTGATATATCTGGAAATAGAAAAGTTACTCAAGTTCCTTACAAAAAGGCAGCACAAGCAAAGAACAGATTTTCCTTATGTGCTTTTATCATAAGAGGCAGGCGAAGTTGGAGGAATAAAAAACATTTTTCCCCGGCTACCTACAGACTGGACTCATTTCTCCATGAATACTGCAGCAAGAATCTAAGAATCTCAGAAAATTGAGGTTTTAGCAGGTAGAAATCATACCCCATCATAGCAAGCATAAGGAGTAGTCTTATATTTTAGGGCTTTGTCAGGGCAACCTTCAAGTGGGTCAAGCTTAGATGCTTAGATGCTATTTATATAGATTGCTATCAATAAATGACTGCACTGGAATATGCAGAGGAAAAAGAAATCACACATGTACTTCATGCTTCTTTGATCTCTATACAGATTCTGTATAGAGATCTGATCTGAGTCTATGCAAGGTACAGTCTATCCAAAGAAGCTCTTAGGAGAGAAGTTCTTTAACTACTCAAGACTACCTGGACTCCCTTGCCGTAAAAGCAGCGGACAGTGCGCAAAACCAAACTTTAAGCATTTGGAAAAATTATTTGGTGTACAGATGGGAACACAGAATAGAAAATTGACCATTAAAAGCAGTTTAGATTTGAATTTCATTTTTTGAAAAACATCTTTATACCAAGGGATATTTCATCTTTAAATCACCTTAACTACCTCAGTTGGAATATTGGAGTTTTAGTATGAAAAAGTATGCTTTTCTTCTGCAGCTAGTTCACAAAAAACACCCTATCTCTACTACTATTCCAGCCTCTGCAAACGGCCAATCAATCACAAGAGCATATTAAAACTGTGGCAAACACATCTACAGGTCATAAACTGAGCTAGCAGCTTATTAAAGTTTCACTTAAGTCCTAATAGGATTTAAGGGCCTTGATAGGCAAGATCTAGTAAATCTTCCCCACATCTTGCAGCCAAGAGTGTCTCAACCAGAAGGGTATCCTCTCCCTGCTTAAAATTTCTGACAGGCTATTCTTTGTAGCCTTAGCAATCAGCACAACTGCCAAATGTGCCATGCACTAGAAATACATGACCGACAAAGAACTCTGAAAGATTCTCTCCTAAATAGCTTACGAAATCACACAGGTTTTTCTCTATTTTTCACCATGAAGCTAGACTGAAATTGCTGTCTTGACATTCAACAGGATGAAACCACTTTTCATCTATTTGGAAGTTATGACAGAGGAAAGAGGAAACAAAAACATTTTTTATATATCTGAAAAAAATGCTTATGCTTAAAACTATTTGCCTCACCCTAAAGGATGTTTTTGAAATTTATCACCCTTTACTTTTCAGTGAACCCAACTAGTAGCAATGAATTAAACGGAAGACTCTTCAGTCTCCACTACTGCAATTATTCCATTATCTCTAAAAAGCCTTGACGTTCAAGCAGCTACACAGTACCTTTTATATGACAACAACATATAAACATAAATATATATATACACACACACATAGGCATACACAGTAACTTAACCTACAGCAAATTTTCTACCTATTATCTTGGAATATATGGATAGAAGAAGCATCTCACTTCCCACCTTTAAGCATACAACTGCTTCTACCATAACTGCATGGATGCAAAGTCAGTGAATCCTTAGCTGGCAGCAAGTAGTTAACATTGCTCTGAGTTTGACTTCCTTGCATAACAGGCCCTATAGAAGTTTGAAGGAAAAAAAATCTTTGAGGATGATGACTACTGTGCAAACTGATGGGAGCAAACTGAAGTAACCAAGACAGAAGTGATTTCAAACTTCCTTGTCTAACTCCCGCCCTGCGCCCCCCATAAAAATAAGGCAGCAATAAATTGATGGAGATGTTCAGTTGGTTTTGTCTGGTATATTTTTGAAAAAAAATCCACTAATTTAACTTTGCTCTGATTTTAGATGGTCCCTCAACAGATTGCAAAGACACAAATGCTTCAAGGCAGCTCAGCTCTCGCTTGAGCAAAGCCTTAGGATGAAGATCAGTAAAAGGATTTTTGCTTTAACCAAGTGACAGGCAGCCTTTGGTTGCAGTGTGTTTAACAAACTGCATTCTAGTGCTGCCTTGTTCTGCTCACTTCACGTAGCTACGATTCACACAGCGTTTCTATGAAATCACGGTAAGACGCCAAAAGCTGTCAGAGGTTTGCAGCCTAAATGCTTGTGTGTGGCAGAAAACCCAATACCTCCTAGGTCTTTACAGTCAAGCCTGCATTGCTGGTTTACAACCCTGCACATCCATTAACAGAAATTTGGCAAGATGCAGTGTCCTACTCAATTACCCTGTTGCTATGGTTCCACAAAGTGGCGCCTACACACTTTCCTTTCATCAAAACACTATAGTTTCCTAATACAGTATACATGTGTTAGGATTATCATTATAAAGGTATGATCATTAAAGGAGTCTTGACACCGGAGAAGTTTCAACTCCCTTCCCAGCCAACTCAGGAAACAAAAGAGAGCCAAGCCCAGAAGACATGAAAGAGTTTCAACAAACTTCCACACTAAAATTTATTATTTTTTTCCTTATAGATTCATTGCATAAATCCCTGTATA